CATGGCTGGCTGGGGAATTCTGGGAGTTGAAGTCCACACATCTTCAAGCTGCCAAGGCTGAGAAACACTGGTCTATCCTATTAGATTCAATTGGCCCAGCAGATCTGCTGTGGGACTACCGACTTCTGTCTGGTTTCTGGGCTTAATGCCTGTACTGGAGAGCTGTTTTAGCTGCAAGGGACCCTGGAACCCCAGATTTTTCAGCCATTTCCTCTTTTTAATTTCTGGAACAGGTTGGTCTACCCACTGGCCTGCAGAATGTGAAGCGCTGAAATTGACTAACCCATCCTGAGGTAATTGAAAGGATTCTGTAGTGTGCATAGAGCAGTGTTTCTCAACCATGGCAACTTTAAGATGTGTGGACTTCAACTCCCAGAATTCCCCAGCTAGCCTTCAATCTTAAAGTTACCAAGGTTGAGAAACACTGCCTTAGAATGTAAGTATACAATGTACACTGAAAGTATAACAATGCATTTATCTTCAATAAATGACTATTTTTAGGGCTTTTCCATACTGCTACCTTTTCCATTACCTAAATCTTCAGAAACAGTTGGAAGGTGATGGCCTTAACTTCTGCCATCTTGAAATGCTAAGAACAAGCAGTGGCCACAAAAAGGGAAAGACAGAAAAATGACATTTATTCATCTAATTCTATCTAGAGCCTGCCTGATTTCAAACAACTCTGGGTGGCTTCTGTATTAAAAGTCCCAAACAGTAAAACAAGAAAAAGATGACAAATGTCTGGAACTACACAATGCCCGCCAAACCCGACAGGGGCTCAGCACTCACTCTACCCCTAGGCCTGAAGCAAAGTCAAGTTTTCAAGGATTTACAGAAGACCCTCCATGGTGGTAGCCACCTGTATCTTAAGAGGCTGTTCCAGAGGGGAGGCACTGTGACAGAGAAGGCCCACTTCCCAGGTCCCAAGAGATGACACGGATTAACTGAAAAGGCCTGCAGTGGAACCTCCCTGTTGGATCTGGTGGGATGGGCAGAGACCCTCAGAGTTAGGCAGAACCTCGAATAATCAGGCCCTGTGTCATGAAATATGTTTGTACTGAAGAGAAGATGGAAACTCACAATATCCTGGTCAGTTTAACACTTCTCTTTTCTTCTCTGGACAACTAACAGGGAATACAAAGCAATCAAGCAAGGGTGTCTGCAAGGTAAGGTCAGACAAGATGAGATGGCCGTGACAGGGTGATCAAAGCTCCCACTGCAGGGTGGAAGGGTGTCCCTGCAATCAAAGCAGCATTTCCCTGATGGTACCTGAAGCTCAAAAGCAGAAGAGGGTCTGGCAAGTTCCTTCCAATGAGTGATAGACTAAAACAACAACAACAAAAAAAGACTAATTTTGAAAAAGTAGCCTTGCAGAGATTTCAGCTTTGCAGCTAAGCCAAAAAAAAAAAAAAAAATCGCTTGAACTCTCACAACACTGTTGATACTGTGGACATATTCAATTCTAATGCCGCTCCTATCTGGCATACAGCCTTCATGTAGAAGGGCTCCATGGTTAATCTTTAAGGACTAAATTAAATTGTGATGTTTTAAAAAAGGCAAATTCCATTAACTGGGGAGAAGCTGGAAGAAGGGGAATGAAGAGAAGAGAAGAGAAGAGAAGAGAAGAGAAGAGAAGAGAAGAGAAGAGAAAGCAAGCAAGCAAGCAAAGCAATAATGTACCGGGAATTTATCCTCTTCTGCTGCAAATCTCAAAAAAACACATAATAGGAAGCTGGCTATTTACTAGGAAAATTCCCATTGCACACCAATAAGGTTTGTCTCTTAATGCAGATAGTTTTAAATTTCTAATTAATATAGCCCACTTAATATCCCAAGAAAAATGCGGAA